ATTTAAAATGAACAGTGAGATGAATCGGGAGTGAAGGTACGAGGGGGAAGTGACAGCTGGATTTGGAGTTGTTGGGATTAGCAAGGAAGGAGGAGAAAGCCTTGTCCACAGGCTGCAGGACACAGGCAGTGACAGGGTCTGGGAACACGACAGAGGAAGAGAGGAAGTGACAGAGTGAGCATGCCCCGAATAAGGTGCCCCCACCCAGTGTGCTGAGCATCTTAGAAGCCTCTGCAGGCCACATTAACACCTCTCCCAGTGCACCCTGCTGTCCACGGCACTCTCATCCTCTCCTAGGAGTGGGAAGGTCCCTGCAGAAAAGGGACTGCAGCCACTCATCTCCGAGCCTGAATCCAGGCCCAGCACCTGGCACGTCATTGGTGTGCTAGAAACGTCTGTGCAATTGAGTTTGCTGAAGCAGCGCTAGCATCCAGATGCAGTGAAATGTGTTGTCACCTTAAAGGCGAGAAAGCACAGGAAGAATGCATGCCCCAGGGGCTATGTCCTAGTTGGGGATCCTCCAGAAACAGACCCTGGGACAAGGATTCCAGTGCAAGCTGTTCATCTGGGAGGTGAAAAGAAACACTGGTACGGGAATGGGGAAGTGAGGGGAGAAAGGAAGACAGTCGGCCAAGGGTATCTTCTCAAGCAGCTCAAGCCCACTGGGGAAGCTCTGGGAGCCTGAGTGGAACCCACATTGGAGGGATGAGGGAGCTGGGGCCGCACACACCAACTCCCGTCAGTTGTTGGATCTGCTGCAGAGGGTGTCGTCATTCCCCAGATTTCAGGCCCTCTATGTGAGTGGCAAAGCAGGCTCCAGCAGAGAGAGCGAGTTCTCAGGCAAAACGCAGAAGCCTGCGGTTGGAAGGCAGACAGGTGTGCAGTGAAGTGCTAAGGACAAGGGCGGGCGTTTCCAAACTTGATCGCGCAGTAGAATCACCTGGAGGGCTTGGAAAAACGGATTAAGGAGCCCACCCCCAGAGCTCAGCAGAGGAGGGGGGCAGTTAAGAATTTGCACTCTAACAAGTTCCCAGGTGCTGCTGCTGGTCTAGAACAACGCCTCAAGAGCCACCAGGCTCTGGATGCGAGCAGGGCCCTGACTGGTTGATACAGACTGCATACCCGGGGGGAAATCCAATACCCAGGATTAGAAACAAAGACAAAGAGGTGAGCTACGCCTCTGATGTCCCCTCTGCAAGCAAAGCCTCCCCACCTGGCTCAAAGCCTGCATGTGGGAGTCACAGGCCCTGGCAGAGCTGGGACCATGTAGCAGACTTCTCTACATGTGCTGTGGCCAAGGTTAAGGCCACTCCCTGACAACATCCTTAGGATGCTACAGTCCCTGTGAGTCCCATCCTGGTATTTTTCTCTGGGTGTGGCCCAGTGAGCTTAAGTCCCAGGGGCAAAGAGCACAAACAGACATTGCAGAAGGGATCCAACATGTGGCTACATAATCCAACCCAGCTAGGGATGGGCCAAGTTCAGGAAGCTGCTCCTCCTGACCTGACACAGAGCTGGCCAGGGCAGCCAAAGACCACGCGGAGTCCCTATCCTGCCAGGCTTCAGAATCATTATGTGGTGACCTTGAGCTCATCCTCCTCTGCTCTAGAAAGGGCAAATCCTCCAGAAGACACCCCTAAAATCATTCTTTTGTCACTTTGCATTCATTTAACAGCTATGATAACCCGAAAAATAACAGGCCCCCTGTCCTTTGCTGTTTCTTTACAATAAGAACACACGTTTGTAGGGAACACAGAATCCTAAACAAAAAATTGGCGCTTCTGTCACAATACTAAATGTCCACTCGAATCCCACACCATCAGTTTCACAACACAAAAATCACTCGTGACCTCTTAAGAGATGAGCAGGAAAAAGCAGGGAGACAGAGATAACAAATTTACCCTTCACGCGAGCAGAGGCATCCTCATTTATCTTTTACAGTGATCGCCCCTAGCAAAGAGCACGACAAAGCCACATCCACACACTTCCATCTTGAGATGGGGTCACTGCCACAAAAGCCAAGGTGCTAGGCCTCAGACCACTGCAGATATGAGGACCTGCTTGGTTCAGGAGATCAGTCGCTATGCAATGCTGAGGTCTACACCTCTTAGGTGGTGCTGTAATTAGCTGCAGTCCAGAACTTCACGGTGAGGAAAAGTAAAGCTTCATCCTCTCACAAATCAGTACATTTTTCCAGCTTTCCCAATGGGTTGCCAAGTGACTCAGCATTGGCCCAGTGTGGGCACTATTATTGATGAGAAACCTTCCGCCTGAGTGATATACTGCATACGACACATGCCCAAAGAACAGTGCCAAGTCATACCAGGAAGAGCAGGTGAATTATTCACCTCCACTTCAAATGCAGGCAAATCCTTTCTTAATGCAGGGGCTACTCAGTATCAGAAAGACAAAGCCCTAAGATAATCGGAGATTTCCATCTAAGGTTCAAGGAATTATTAGGCAGAGCTTCTCCCTTCTTGTTGACTATTAAAAGGCAATCAAATCGAGGACAGCATAGAAAAAGGGCAAGAAAAAAAAATAATTTTTCAAAAACAAGCCCAAAGTAGAAAGCTGCATAAGTCTTCAGGTCCTTAAGTGTTCTTTGTGAGTACTATGAGCTCCACCCAGAGGTCATTTCCAGAACTGCATGTTCATTTAGTTTTGAAAAAGAAAAATGTACATCTTCTGGGGTCCAGGGCAGGACCCACCTCAGAGAACAGCTGGAAATTCTTGGCCAACATCCCTCTTTCTTGCCTTCCATTAAAGGAACTGCTCTGAACTCTGAAATACAAGATATACTCGCGGAACCTGGTGAGATACAGTAGAACAATTGCCTTTGATATTTGTACCTGTTGTTGAACTAGCGGAGTTCCTGGCAGGTTGAACTCAGCTCAAAGAAAGCAGAGTGTTCAAAGAGTACTTTTGGAAGCAAAACTGACACCTCTCAATGAAATAAAATTAGAAGACTGGAGAGCAACTTGGGGGCAAACAGGAACACATCTAATATTAGAAGGACTGAGAATAATCCTCCTTCAAGAAAGACTCATGGGCCACTTGCATAGAAGGCCCAACTGGAAAGTACCCACTCTGTTATGCAACTCAGAAGAGTTCCCCGAGGCAATCAAGATCCATGCTGCTCAGAGAACTTACTGCAGTTTCCAGATCCTTCCCCTGGTATCCAGCCATTCATTACACACACACACCCACATACACTCCACCCCACACTCCATACCAGTGGCCCCTACTAATTCATGCACACACCCCTTCAGTCCATGAGGGGGTCAGGGTAGGACAAAGAGCCCCCAATACACTGAACACTCAACTGCCCAGTGCAAGATGCATCCTGTTCCAGATATCACAAGCTAGCTCAGCAAATAATTTAAGCTTTCAAAAAATAATATGTTGGTTGTTTACCAATTGTCTACCAATATGATGGTAGGTAGACAACAAAAGTTGTCTACTATCTGGAGAGCTTCCGATCACAGCCCACGTGCTCTTGCCTTCATCAGCTTGTCCCCAACCTTTTTGGCACCAGGGACTGGTTTCATGGAAGGCAATTTTGCCATGGATGAGGGGGAGAGGGAGGTAATGGGGGGTGGGGTGGACATGGAGCTCAGGCAGTGATGTGGGGCCCTGTTTTCCTAACAGGCCATAGACCAGTACTGGGCCACAGCCCAGTGATTGGGGACTGCAGCCTTACCTGGCTTAAGACAACTTTGACAGATTTTCAAGGGGGAAAAAAATCAAACTTACCCTTTGTCTTCTTCCAACACTCCTTCCCAAGCCACTGCCAAGTTCTTTCTTCACTACAAACACTGAACGGCCTTTTCATGTCTATTGACAAAAGTATCTATGGCAATGTTTATCCATGTCGGGAGTTTAAAGCTCTAGAAAAATATCCTTGCTAAACCTCTGCAAGTTCTCATTTCAACAAGGTTAAGCATGCCCAGAATGTTGCCCTCTTTGTTTCTTGACCATAAGGCAAAAAATACTTATGCTCAGTATGACTCAATATGACTCCAAGCAGTGTTCCCCAGGCCTGCCTAGCGCTAGCAATCACCCCAGAGACTGGCTAAAATCACAGATGTTCAGCCTGCACCTCTGATGCACTAAACCACATCTTGCTGGTGAGGGGTCCAGAAAGCTACAGACACCCAGGTGATTGCTATCATCAGGAAGATTTCAAAAACACCTCTCGAAAGAAGAAATGCTCCTAATTTCAGTCTCCTAGCTGCAGAGTGGCATCCGTTCAAGTGTAGCAGGTATGCCCTACCCCCTTGAGCTCTGGCTCCATGAAAATATCTCAAATTCAAGATGGCTCCCATTCTTGCTCTTTAAAGAGCACAGCTGTCAATATTTTTCTCATTGATTCCCTTAGCTTGCTGCATAGTATTGGAAAATGTTACAAGGCCCAGCAAGTGTCCAGTTCCATTAGGAAATATTTTTGTTTTCCCACGCAATGGTCTACCACTGGTCTGCAGTTTACAAGCATGCTGTTTGGGTCCTTTGTACAAAATGATGGGTTAGGAAGTAGATCTGTCTGGTTCTAGGAAAGGATTTGCCCCAGGACATTTGCACATATCATGCACAGAACAGAAGGACCCACAGCCACTATGAGTTTTCTTCTCCTTGGTGTCCTGAGGGCTCTTCTGTCGGCAGCTCCCCATGGCTCCCCACTGCTCTGCATTCTGCCACGATGATGGCTTATGACAAAATTCACCAGGCAGCAAGCAGTGTGGCTCTTACAGACAGCAATTAAGAGAGAAGGAAATGCTGAATTACAAGGTGTTTGAAAATACAGTAACAAAAGGAAAAGATCTTATTTTCTCTTACCTCCTGGTGATGAAATCTATGTATTCATCCAAAAGCAGATACCTAACTCTGGGGTCATTCAGAGTCAACAGCTCAGTTAATATAAAAACCAACTACACAATCAATGTCAAGAATGAAAAATCTATTACACCAAAAGTCCTATTTTTTCAATCAAAAGAAATTCTTACCTTTTCTTTGGCTTTCCTTTTCGTTTCTGTGTCCATCCACACATTTTCTTTCTCCAGCATGTCAATAAAGGCCCAGCGAACACCCTCAATCAATTCCTCCATCTACAAAAAAATATCCAAAGAGGCAGTCTCAAGCCAAGAAACTTCAGACAAGGTTTTCCAAAAATCAGCTTGCATGAGAAATGCTCAGTATGGTGAGGAAGTGGTTCTTTCAGCTCGACTCCATACTCTGGCAAAATTCTTCTTTCCAGAAAAATTCCCTGTTTCCCATTACTAAAAGAAAAATAACCATTTGTTTTCCATGAGAATAATTTGATGGCCCAGCTGTAAAAGGAATATATGGGGAAAGGAATTTACTATAGGTTATGACAAACTAATAACTTACCTGTCTGTAGCTACTAAATTAGTTCATCCTTATAAAGGTAGCAACTAATTTCAATCATTTAATAAGGGACTGAGAGAGCCAGACAAAGGCATGCACTGTGTATTTCAAGTAGGTAGTGTAGAAATAAATGAACAAACAGTTGAAAGAGATACTGTTAAGAGAAAAACAGGCAGAGAGAGCCAGCATCCGACACGACACTTGGCCAACATGAATCAGACTTATGTCAGGACCCCAGTTCTTTCTAAGTTTGGCGCCACTGGTTAAACCAAATGTTTGGCCACTCTATATCATCTTCCTACTCTTCTGTCTATTCTATTCCTTGGCGGCTCAGAAAAGTGGTTATTTCAAATCTAAAGTGGTAGTTCTAAAGGGGGACTGCTACAGAAAGGGTGTCTTCTGAAAGACCTGTTCCAAAGCATTTAAACAGTACAAACAAACATGCCCACAGTGAGGATGTGTACACCTTGGCTTTGCTGCCAGTGACTGGAAGCCAGCAGAGAGGACTGGAGGGGAAAAAAGGCTGACACTTAATGCCACAGCAGTGTGATGAGGCCCTGTCATTTTATGGGTGCAAACCCCTCAAAATCTCTTTCTCCTGCAGAGGTGCCTTGACTTTCTCAATGGGACACCCAAGCACGGACAAATACTGGGTTTGGCCCCAGAATTAACTTTTTCATTTAAGATGATGGGATTGTAAATCAACTATCAACATTAATGCTGGAAGGAAAAAAGTTTCAAGGTTTCCTTGGTTCTATAATGAATTATCAGCCCAGAGCCCAAAATGATTTTTTTTTTCTGTTTAATAGTTTTCTTCTATGTTTTCAGTTCAGTAACAGTTGTAAGGGAACCAGAGCTATAATCAGTGGGCTGAGTTCCATCATATGTAAATAAGAACAAACAGCAGATGGAAGGGGGTAGGGGGAGTTTAACAGCTATTTCTTCCCAACTTAGTAAAAACATTAAAAGAAGAGAAACTTCAATTTGGGATTAGAGCATGATAAAAACGTAAACTGATGTAACAGCAAAGGGCCTTTAAAAATCATTAAGTCAGTGGTTCTCAATCTTGTTTGCCCATTGAGATCTTCGGAGGAACTTAAAAAAAAATCCTGGCAAAAAAAAAAAAAATTTTAATCCCAAGGCCTGGACATTGGGATGCTGATGTCATTGGTCTAGCAGGGGTCCTCAAACTTTTTAAACCGGGGGCCAGTTCACTGTCCCTCAGACCGTTGGAGGGCCGGACTATAGTTTAAAAAAAAACTATGAACAAATTCCTATGCACACTGCACATATCTTATTTTGAAGTAAAAAAACAAACAGGCAAAAACACCCGCATGTGGCCCTCGGGCCGTAGTTTGAGGACGCTTGGTCTAAGGTCCAGCCTGGGGCATAGGGAGGTCTAAAAGCTTCTCAGGTGACTCTAATGTACAGCCAGAGTTGAGACCCACCAGTCTAGGGGAAGCCACTTATTTGACAAATAAGGAGATTAAGAGTCAGGAGACTCTATGATCTGCTCAAGCTCATACAGCTAGCGAGGGTCAGAGCCTGGACCTGACCTGCAGACCTAAAATGACAGTTGAATGCTCAGAGCTTCTAGGAGCAACAGAGGTGTCCCCCCAAAATCAGAGGATAATGCCAGGGAAATAGAAGGTAACCAATCACCATTTCAAACAGAAAACCTGGTAAGAAAAACTTCCATCTATTACTTAGCACATCGGCCACCTGAGACCCCCACCCATCACGGAAGACCCACATCAGCATAATACTAACCTGTTACCTGCCCCCCCAACTAATCTATTGCCTGGGCATCAGCATAACACTAAACCTATTAGCTGGTGCATCAGCATAATACTAACCTATTACCTGGTGCATCAACATAACACTAAACCTATTGCCTGACACATCAACTAACCTACACCTGATACCCCACCCCTCCGACCACCCCAATTTAATCAAAGTGGGGAAAATCGGGTAAACCGGGCTCAGAATTTGGTGGTGAGACCCCTCTGAGCCCGCTGGCAAATAAACTTTGATTCCGACTCTCCCTGTGTGGCTCAGTTTGTCCTCAGGAGGAGAGCATTAAAATGACAAGGAAGGCCCAGTGCGGTGGCTCATGCCTGTAATCCTAGCACTATGGGAGGCTGAGGCTTTTTTGAGACAGAGTCTCGCTTTGTTGCCCAGGCTAGAGTGAGTGCCGTGCATCAGCCTAGCTCACAGCAACCTCAAACTCCTGGGCTCAACCGATCCTCCTGCCTCAGCCTCCCAAGTACTGGGCCTACAGGCATGCGCCACCATGCCCGGCTAATTTTTTCTATATATATATAGTTGGCCATTTATTTCTTTGTATTTATAGTAGAGACGGGGTCTCGCTCGTTGCTCAGGCTGGTTTCGAACCCCTGACCTTGGAGCAATCGCCCGCCTCGCCTCCCCAGAGTGCTAGGATTACAAGCGTGAGCCACCGCGCCCGGCCCATTATTATATTTTTATTAGGAGCCAATCCAAACTTATTTTTATGAGTTTTTAAATAATGAATCAATGAATCTTTAATATATATTATATATTGACTTATTTAATGTCTATATTTCTAATAAAGTGACAATTTGTCAAAAAGAAAAGTTTTAGGACCCCTCTGAGATTGCAGCCTATTTCTTCAGGGTTAACCACATACATTATTTAATAATGATTTCCATTTTTCACATTCACTAATCAAGTGGTTATAATCAAGGAACTTAACTTGCTCTGGACCAATGAGAAGACTGAAACATTTTAATCTCATGTTTTATTAAGATATTATGACTTTGAAGTGTATTAAAGAGGAAAGCTACTCAACATTATGACTTTTAGTTAAGAATTTATTAACATTACATTAATTTAAAGTTGATGCACACAATCAATCTTGGTGATTTTTCTTTTTTTTTTCTTTCTTTTCTTGTGTAATATATGTATTTTAAACCATTTTAGCTATTTTCCTGTGTTATGTTGAACATCATCAATCTCAGAATGGACTAGGCTAACTTCCTGAGTCATTTGATTCTCTAAAGTTTATATTTGATTGTATACATTCAGAGACATTTGCTGTGAACCTTGCCCCCTAATATAAAGATAGGTTTGTTAGTCACTGATGAATTTTATAGATGGATTCAGGCTTTGAATTATTAAATCAGAATAGGTCTCTTTTTCCGAAAATGACTTCACCTAAAAAGTTACCACGTTTTTTTCCTTTTTCAACTTCCATATTGTTAAATCTCCTGATCATATTTGAACAGCCACAATTATCTATGAGTGAGTTTGATAATATTTTCTCTTTTATGCTGCTGGAATAACTGTTATATATTAGTATATATGAAAGATATTTGATTCAATTTCATTTCATTGTTAGGTACCCACTGGAAGTCTTGAAAGCAAAAATTGATCAACTTGTATTTACTGAGCATCTGCTACTTATCAGTATTAGGTATGAATGTGAGATAATATCATATCATGTGAAAAATGATATTCCTGAGATATGAAATCATAAAAACTAAAGTACGAGATGTGAAATCATAAAACTAACAAATTAAAATTGCAGGACACATTCTGATTTGCTTACATAGTCATGATCTCATTTGATCTAAATCATAGTTCCTGTTCTCAAAGCTTATGGATATTTGTTGGAGAGACCAAATACATACAAACGGAAAGAAAATTAAACACACGCCTGTATTGTTCTGATCATGAGCTAATGGGACTCAGAGAAGGGACTGAAAAGTGTGGGTTTAAATGTTTGAGATCATGAGGCGTGAAGTAGGATTTGTATGCCTTGCAGGATTTCTTTATTGCAGAGACAAAGCTTTAGAAGAAATTACAACTGACAATGGGGCAAACTGACCCTTCTTCTCACAGCAGTGTCATTATGTGTCCCTTCAAATGCATTAATTAGAATCATTGTGACCCATTTATTGGTCAAATACAAAATTCCTATGTCCATGTGATGGAAAAGTGTAATAAGGGGGAAAAGAGGAGAGGAGAGATAATTCTAATTTTCTGAGATAGAAGCATCTCTTAAAAAAGCCCTGGACATGTAATGTAGAACACTATGGCAAAATCCCAGGGTGCAAAGAATGAAAAAGGGAGGACCCACTTTTAAGTAAACATGCTTCAGGAAAAGAACAACTGCCCGTAGATTGATCAAATGAATTGTATTTTTACAGTGTAGATCTGTAAAATCTGAAATAATAATGCTTAATAAAATTGCTTTGCCTAGAGGGCCTTACCTGAATGTGGCAGATTTGACTATAATAACACTTGAGTTAATTAATTTTTATATGTTATATTTTGATTACATAAATATTTTCTAATGGATAACTTCACCTTAGGACTTCCACTGTAAGTGATTTCTATTAATGTCATATGCTGGCTGGTTGGTTTGTTAGGTCAAGGTTTGGTGAAGAAATACTATTTCCTCTCTCTCTTTTTTCTTATTTAAAATTATAGCAGGCTTTTGCTGCTTTAGGAACATGACTTGACTGAATGCAATGTTATTATGTGATGCTGTAGAGTAGTCTAAAGATAAAATCAGAAGTGTTCAGTGATTTATCTTCCTAGTTCCAGCATGCTAAATCATTATTTCTCTTATTTGCATGTGACATGTCAACCAATGACATTAATCACCGTCAAAGATTTCCCTTGTTCTTGAATTCTGCTAGGGTAGTTCAGCACCATTTCACAGAAAATGTTATAC